TCACTACCCTCCTGACTGTTCTCCTGACTGTTCTCCTCACTGTCTTCCTCTCTGTCAGACATGGTAGCTGATGATGTAGGCCTAATACTTCCTCTCTGGTTGAGTCTGCGATTAGCTGCTTGCATCCACAAGTCAACAGCTGGGTTTGGGTCGAAAGTCTCTGTTGTCATCTCAGAAGTGGATGTAATCAAATAAGTATGTGAACATAACCAATAACCTACCATAGCCAATAACAAATGAATGTAACTTATTTTATTTGTGTTGTTCATTCATATCTTATTTTACCTTAACATTTATTTATTTATGCATTTTTTTTATCTCTCCAGTTTTAAAGGATATTTTTGGTTACTGTCCTATAGTATGATTGGAATGATTTCAAACCTGTTTATCCCAATAATTATAAAGGAGTGCCTTGGAAATATGTGTTTACATAAATTGTGACCAAACTGTTTGAACTTAGACTAAAGTGAACTATCTAAACACTCAGAGTCCTTTACCTCACTGAGCTGTAGTTATCAGCCTCTCAGTCTGACTGGAGAGGACTCTCCCTCCACATTATTGTAGAAACATCTTCTTCTTCCGTTAGAGCAGCTAGCACCAGATTCTAATAACAACAGCGCGTACCGGGCAGTGCGCCCTTCTCTCTCTCCCTCGCTCACTCGCACTTTGGCTGTGAGCTGCGGGCGCCAGATAAGCCAACATCCCCCATTTTCATCACTTACAGCGCTCATCGTACAGGGCGAATGAAACGTGTAACCGGGATGAAAAGGGTGTTACATTTACTTAATTATGAATATTGTTACATCAAGGCCGAACATTAGGATGAGCACCAACGGTCAAAAATGTTTTTTTCCCTCCCAGAGCTGCCAGCGCAGCGCCTCCACAGATCTGGCGCCCTATAGATGAGAGTAACAAATGCGTCACTTCCGGGCAACATTTACGGCTCCGCCCACTTTTGGGGGAAAACAACGCTGTCAGTTGAACAGTGGTCAATACAAATTCTGAAGTTTTTGCCAATCCGATCAGAAATGAAAGAAAACCGGAGACTTTTGGATCTTCAAAGAGCCCGATTCCAAAGGCCAGACAGGCAAACAATTGCATTAAGCCATTAGAAATCGACGATCGGGCTCGATATATGGTTAAATATAGCAGTAGGCTATCGATTTTCATAGATGAGAGTAACATCTACGTGACTCTACGGCCCCGCCCACTTTTGGGGGAAACAACGCTGTCATTTGAATGGCGATCGAGCCTGAAGCCACAGAGCAGACCCGGCGCCAGAACAAATCTAAAGGGAGGGCATATGATTTTCATGGGAGGGCACACAAAACCGTCACGTGCTGCGGGCCTGCGGCACAATATATATCAAACAGCAAGGCCAACAGCATTGCGTAAAGACGCACACTTATCGCAAACATACACAAATAAAGGGCAACATAGCAACCACTTTGAAACATTGTGTGCGTGGCAGCACAAACACTGGTAAATCACGAGCAAGGTTGACAGCTAAAAAAGCTATAATATAAACGACAGCTGACACGTAATAACGGCTCCGTGCCAGCTGATCTGCACCAAAGTACTCATTTCCTTATTTGTTTCCTCGCGTATCTGTCTCTCTCTCCACAAACTCTCACATGAAATGTGTTCTTTTGATGCGGCATGCCTTAGCAGTCCTTTATCAGTCTGTAATGCGTGTTTCCAGTCGCAAAAACCTTTGACAGTAAAAGCCGCATCAGATGAAGACGTATTCACTTTAAACTGTCTACAGGGGAAACAAAAGGCTGCGTCTGCTTTTAACGAATATTCAAGCCATGGTCTGTTGTTGTACCATGCAGCGGCAAAAGTGCGCTTCTTTCCTGAAAACAATCTCCCTGGATAACGATCCAACTTCACCTGCTTGGGTTTATTAACCCCAAGATCATCGCTAACTCAGCCCCGGGGTTTGCCGAGGTCAAGCTTGTGACATTAAGGCGTGCTGCTGCAACGGCAGGTGCAGGGTCGCCAGCAGCTGCATCGGCTGCAGTTCTTTCATTGCTATTTCGTTTTAATAAATCCTTAGACCTTTGCAGCCAATTTCTGATGTCCATTTTGTAATGCAAACAGAAATGGGAGTCTACAGAATGCACAATAAACAAATCCAGAATAGGCAGCAGAGTGTGACGCTGTGATTGGTCTAAATGGGGACGAATCAGACACATGCATTTATTTGACGTAGCCTGTGATTTTTTTGTTGTTGTTCTGACATCACATACATCGTAGCATAAAAGTTTAATTTATAATTAAAAAAATAAAATATATATATTTTTTAATTTTTATAAATAATAAAAAACGTGTTTATTGGGGGAGGGCAGGAATGTCAAATGGGAGGGCCTGGCCCTCCCTGGCCCTCCCACGGCGCCGGGCATGCCACAGAGCTCTTCCTTTACTGTCCTTTCTTCTTAGAGGAAGTACAGAAACACTGAACTCTTGATTATTTTTAATGTTTGAGGTGCAATAAACGACACAGCAGCTTTTTGGCATGATACAACTATTATGTTCTGCCTCGCTCATGAGAGTAACAGCTGGAGAAATTACAGCCTCGCCTACTGATTTTAATTTAACCATATATCAAGACCGATTGTCGATTACCAATGATCGAATGTAATTGTTTGCCTGACTGGCCATCGTAATCGAGCTCTTTGAAGATCCAAAAATCCACGGTTTTCAAAAATGTTTGATCGGATTGGCAAAAACTTCAGAATTTGTATTGACCGCCATTCAAATGACAGCGTTGTTTTCCCCCAAAAATGGGCGGGGCCGTAATTTTTGCCCGGGAGTGACGTAGGTGTTACTCTCATCTGGCCGGCCCTGAGTTCATATGATCTCTCTCTCTCTATATATATATATATATATATATATATATGCTGCTCTTTGGACATTGTCATTAACATCAGCAACTGTTTAGATAATTAATTTTAAAAAACAGGAAAAGAAACTGGGATGTAGCTCAGTGGTAGAGCGTGTGCTTTGCATGTACAAGGTCCTGGGATCAATCCCCAGCATCATCTCCATCAACAATGATTATTCTATAAATACTAACACAATACTGTGAGACACTCAAAAGATCTTTGTCGAAAAAGCACAGCACTGCTTTTTAAATAATTGATCAGGAGACATTTCCAGAATCAAACCAAATTTAATTGCCTTTTTCTGAGTAAACACATTTTTATTTCTCATTTTGCATTTATCCATCCAAATTAACTGCAATAGATTCCCTTGATCATCTCTTTCTACAAATGTATGAAGTTGCAAAAATATAGAATTAGTTAGAAAAAGAATAAACACAAGTCATACATTCAGTCAGGTTATAGCCTCATAGTGTGAAACCACTGAGGAATATAGGTTTCTACTAAACATCATGAAACGTTTTACATGTTGAGCCTAAAAAAAGAAGCTATGTGAGCTTTACATTACTTAGTAACATTTTTAGAAATCATAACTAGGTTTTCTAAGTCATTAATTTTAGTTCATTTCAAGTGCAACTGCAAGTAAATTGTTGAAGTTGGAAACATCTGCAGAGATGAATAGTTTTGTCTCATCCATCAGGAGTTGCATCACATGTATGTACATCACGCTGCAGTGGGTTTAATAACACAAAGAAGAAAACTTTCCCAACATATACATCTCTTAATTCTCCAAAAACTTGAGTAACAATAAATACAGTACAAACATATTTCAGTAACGCTGGAAGAATCCAACAGCTGCTTCCCTGCTATGCTTTTCAAATTAACGTCATAGTTCTGAGGGGATCTTTCTGTCAGATGGTAACTCAAAATGTGACTCCATGACGACGCTTACTATTGGTATTTTATAACATTTCTTTGATATAGAATTTAGGATTTGAATATCTCTAATACATCATTTACATTGTTTTCTATGAATACATTAGTGAAGTAACATTGCTTTAAAAGTCATTTGAAGCCGTCTTCTTTTAAAAAACACATGTCCAAATGCTGGTGCTGTGACAGATCTGAGAGCCAAATATGCTTTTTGATAGTGACCATAAACTTATAGCCAGAGTAAGCAAAATTAAATGATACAGAGTGCTGGAGGCTATGCTTTGATGTTTGGATAAGATTTGAAAATATAATCATTTATCTAACACTTACAGATGGATTATAAATATCAAATCAAAATGAGATAGTACCTTATGGTTTTCTGTAGCTAATTATCTGCATTAAAACACACAGTGATAGACAATCATGGCATAGATTAAATTACTTTTTCATTTAAGTAAGTGCAGTAGTTCATAAGAAAATAGTGACAATGCTTAAAATGTCCCATGTAGCAATGTGAATAAACCCTTAAGAAATATCAGATGCATATCAGGTTGTTTTTCAGAGTCAACCTTCCACCACATTTCACTGAAATCTACAGAAATGAATATTTCTTTATCTATATTTTGAAGGTAACAACGTGAAGAATATGTCTTTCCACACTCTCCTATCAGATTACTGAATAAACTAAAAAGCTATCAGTGCAACATTTTAGGCGTTCCTCGTCAGACTTGTTCACACACACACACACACACACACACACACACACACACACACACACACACACACACACACACACACACACACACACACACACACACACACACACACACACACACACACACACACACACACACACACACACACACACACACACACACACACACACACACACACACACACACACACACACACACACACACACACACACACACACACACAACACACACACACACACACACACACACACACACACACACACACACACACACACACACACACACACACACACACACACACACACACACACACACACACAATATAATTACAAACTGAGGATTAAGCATTTTCTTAATGCTTAGCTAATCAGTGTTCCCTCATTCATTATATTAGTAAAGTACAGAATGGTTTCCCTCTGTAGTTACATGGCACTGTGTAGTAGTCGGTCAGACCTGAGACAAACGGCTTCATGGTGACTTTCAACATGAAGCAGCAGCATGCCGTTTGGGTTGTAGTGCTCAAAATGGAATTCATAAAAATAAACTGAAAGACTTTATAATGTGATGTTTGGAAATCCAAATAAATATGTAAAACTAGCTTAGGCAGGGAGAAGGGATGCTACTGAAATGGAGTGTAGAGAACAAATGTATAAATGTTCCTCTAATTTACGTTTGCAGAAACCGACTGTCACATTGGAATTAAGCTTTCTGACCCGGGCACTATTGTTTGGAGTTAGACAAATTAAACACAACTGAAACATTAGTGTCCCAAGCCATATGCCCTGTGTTCACACAGACATTAAAACCTACCAACTTTGATCGAATTTGAGTTGTGTTTTGTTTAAAAAGAGAAACCCTTCTTCCAGTCTGCTCACTGACTGAGCGGGCAGTATTAACTGTCTCCTGTCACTGCTTAGAGAAAAGTCATTAAATCGTCACAATACTCAAATTCTACGATTGGTATAAAGATTCTAAGGTGCAAGGAATTTTTTTTTTTTTGCAAAGCCGCAGCCTAAAAGCATTTTTGTTCTGTTTTTTCTCTCTCATATGTCCATGCTTTACAAACTGCAGTTCCCATATTCAGTTTACTGTAGGCAGTTGTACGCTGTAGGCTTCATTTAATCATGATATTTACAACAGTGCATTTACTGTTCAATTCAACATGTGGGAAGACAGAAATCAAAAGATCCCTTTGAGGAGTGATTGGTCATTAAAATAATATTTACATCATTTGTTTTACATTTTAAGCTACGAGCCTCTTACAGTAGGTTTTCCTTAAAATCTGATCATATTTCAGACTTCATGAGAGACGTGGTCTGTCAGTTCCCTTTGCTTTGAGTCATACACAGAACACTGACATCAAGGTGTGTCTAATGAATAACCCTTAAAGGAAAAACACTGAGGAGTAATGAAAACTGCACTGTTGCTACACCTTTGTAAGACAATTGTGAGATGTGAGTTGATGTATTAGTTAAAAGTGCATCTTACCAAATGTTATGAAGACTAAAGTGCAGTTTTCTAACATGTGCAGAAGAGGGCGATGTGTCACTTTCCTGTGAAAATGTGTCTTTCATGAACAAGAAAGAGCTTTGGCGTTCTGAAACATACTGAGGGATCCACAGGGAGGTGCCGGGGATCACTCCCCCCCTCTCCTTCCCCCCTCTCCTCTCCCCCTCTTCTGTTGTTACAGCTCCTGTGTTCCTGGCTGTTCTATCTGTTGACTGTCCGGTGTCTTTGCTCTTAAATAGCTGACTCCTGCTGGATCTGCATGTAGCACGCCTGCAGCAGATTCAGTGATGATTAGATGACAGAGGTATAATGACAATTTTAGCTATAAAATATTAAAAAGTATTGTTTAACATTTCAAATGTGTTTTCTTTATTCTGGAGAGTATTTTAAAAATCATTCTGCTTTCACAGCAGACTTATCTCATCATTACTCTTTTATATATTTTTGCACAAACGTAAGCAAAAACTTGAAAAAAAAGAAAGAATTGTGTGCTCAGCAACATAAATAGTGGTTCATTTAAGCCTTACAAATGTAAAAAAAGCACCTATAACACCTTAGTGCTTTTATCAACCCAATATGACAACCGTCAATTGTGGCCCAATATTTCTGAAATCTGCTTACTTACAGCTGTCAGTAGAAAGGTAATTATCTCCATTATATATATCATTTTAATACACTTTTTGTAACAATTTTCTTACTTGCTGCCAAAAATTGGCCTAGGTATAGTAATTAAATCCTTCTTAGAGGAATGAATTACATTGAAGTCCAAGGTGTGTTTCCACCATGAGTATATATGAGAGTGTGTGTGTGTGTGTTGTGCGACCTACCTTCAGCGTGGTGAACATCAGTCCCATCTCTCCGTGCTGTACGTTGAGATCCATCAAGTCTTCTATCAGATTGACCTCAGCTCCCAGGCTCTTGATCCTGCAGAGACAACATGTTCAGCGTTCAATCATATCGCTCTAATCATCAAACCAAAGCCTCTCATTCAAAGTGGACCTTGACCCTTTGAAAGTAGAAATTAGCTACATTAGTTCTAAAACTGAAACGAGTGACAACTGAAAGGCGTAATACAATAAATAAACAAAGTGTGTGTGTGTGTGTGTGTGAGTGTGTGTGTGTGTGTGTGTGTGTGTGTGTTTGTGTGTGTGTGTGGTATACCTCGCCCTGAGCACCACATAGAGGAAGAGAGGCAGCAGGTCGTCCATGCACCACAGGAAGTTTCCATCCAGCATAGGTTTCCCTTCCTGGGTCATCTCCTCAAACGTCCTCTGGATGATGAGGAGTTTGTCTGACGGAGTGAAGGTGGTGCTGCATGTGGAGGGAGACATATTGTTTTTCATACACATAATAATAACTTCCAGGTTGTTAATGGTTCTGAGTTGCGCTGTAATACAAATAACAATTGTTACTGAAGTATTCTGTCAGAGTTTGTTGCATCAAGCCAAAGAGTTGAGGGGGTGTTTAGTAAAACTATTAAAATGGGACACTTGATTCATGTGTCAGTTTGCCAAATTAATACAAATTCCACTCATCAAAGTATTATTTAAAGGTTTTTTCCAATCCAAAAATGTCTGATTTCATGCAATTTTATAATGCAAAGACAACATCTGTCTCGAGCCTTAATAACAAAACTAATATTTTTTTTAAAAGTTTGAGATGTTGGACACGAACTGAAACTCCATGGGCCTGGATGGGATTTTGTTGATCTGCTAATCACATGACTCTGTCCTATCACATTTAGTGATATTAGTGTGTAATGGCAGCTACCTGATTAGTTGAAGAGTCTCAACAGCAGAAACAAAACAGGCATCTTTACTGCTGGACACAATCTGTGGTACAAGTAAAGAAAAACAGTTTGAGAGGACAAATCAAAAGCACACTTTGAAAGATGAGAGGAGCAAAGTTGGTGGAGGAAATGCAGAAAGTGCAGAAAATGAAAAAAAGTACACAAGGAGAAATAATAATATTTAGAATCCAACCTGCTTTTTATCTCCAAGGATTGACATCCACACTGGCCAGAACTTCCTACAAGTGAAACAAAAGAGCAGATTGTTTTAGAGGTCATCATTTTTAAGGGTTCTGAAATCAAATAGCCCTTCACTGAATGAAATGCCTGTGGGAGTTTTCGGATGCACACACTCACTCCTGCACTCCCAGGAAGCTGAGCAGTGATTGGTCGGGCTGCTTGTTGAGTCGGAGGACGCGCTCCCAGTACAGAGCCTCCTCCTGCTCCTCCTGCAGGCAGTACAGGGTGAAGAGGGGGGGGTAGAGACGGGGGAGCAGCTGGGGGAGGAGCAGCGAGGAGCAGCTCACCACCATAACACTGAGGAGGAGGAGGTTAATGTCTCATGTGCAATACAACCGGATGTAGTTAAATAGCATTGAGATGAAACAGGTGATAAAAGCATATTCAAGGCTAAACATATCCATCATTGCCTTTGTGTGTATTTGTATGTATGTGTTTGTGTTGACACTCACACGTGCTCTGCTATGTTAGAGTTGTGTTTGCCTTCAGAGGCAGAGGAAGGAGGGTCTGGGATGATGCCGCCATCTTCTGGTAACCCCGGAAACAGAAATCTGCAGGCAACAGTTGTTATGAAGTGTTTTGAAATACAACATGCAAAGTATTTGGGTTGTATTAAATATCAATCGTCTATATTCAAAACTGTTTTTGTTATTTTAATATGCAATTTTATGCATCTGTTATAATTTAACATGATGCATCAAAAACATATTTAAAAAAATACATTTCTTTGTTATTGTGGTTCCATAACATGTGACATAAGGTGCTGTTAGATTGCTGCAACAGCATGTACTTCCTGTAGGTGCGTGCTGCCCTTTGTGTGCAGCAGGGGGAGTGCAAACTGTTGTGTTTTATAAATGTGTTATAAAAGCTATTCGCCCACAAATATGAATTAAGGTACAATCTTCAGTTTGAAATCATGACTTTACAACGCTGTGAATTAATCTGAAATGTTTGGATTTGAGTCGGGAACAATCCTTGCCAGCAATCACTTGATTCCTAATCTATCTATACTTAAATAAGTGATGCTTTATTTGTATTAGACAACTGTGTAGACAAACTGGGTTTGCACAGAATGAATAGACAGGAAGAAAAGAAAAGCAGCTACGCAGCATTCAAATGTTAATTTAGGATTTAAAAGTCATTGTTATGTATGAAGCTTAGAAGCTTAGAAGCTCCGGAATATTCAGTACGGTTCTAAAAAGTAAACTGAATGCAGGTCTGCAGAAGTCTGTGGTCTGAGCAGTAAAGAGGTGAGAGGCGTCCGGACGTGATCTACCTGACGATGCTGTAGAAGTGTGTGAGGAAGGCCAGCAGCTCCTGCACCGCCTGCCGGAGCAGCCGTCGGTTTGACCCCACTCCCACGTACGTCATCCTGTAGACCGTCACCAGGGTCTCCACCAGCCAGCCCAGAGGGTGGTGGGGGGTCTCACACGCCTGACACACAATTCATTATTATAACAACATGTCCACAGGTAAAGACTGTATTTCCCATGGTTTAGTCAGTGATGACAACATAAACGAGCTTCGCAATTATTTCGTGATAATCATCAAAATGTGCTCAGAATGTCCGAACTGGATTCACAGCAAACATCCGCAGTTCTTACTAGTATCCGTAGTAAGGTAGTTATAAATGAGTAAGTCCCCCTTTTCTGTATTAACCAGATTATTAGTTTAGTACAGCTAGCTTAAAGTCATGCATTGTGATACCTTAGTCTTGCAATACATCCGCCCTTCAATAAGGTTGTATTGGGTGGCTTTTGTTCGAGAGACGTCAATTCAACTAGATTGTGCTGCTGCTGACTTGTATTACTTCTTACTAAGATGAATTTCTTCTACTTTATCTATTCACATTAAAGAAGAGAGGGCTTGAGTACCGTTTGTTTTAACTCATTTATTGCGGGGCTGTCAATCGTTCTATATTGCTTTAAATGCTTTCTTCTTCACATGCAAAGATTATTATAAACACAGTCACATATCCAGTCACTTGTACCTTGCTGAGGTATCTTCGTATGTTGTCGTAGTTAGCGGTGGTCACTGGGTCTCCATGCTGGGGAATGAACTCCAAACACTCCAACACTTTACTCTGAGACCTAGTGAGATCTATGCTACAAACACACAGACAAACAATCAGACACTCACACATATACAGCTGTATAGCCAAGAAAGGTATAAACTATTTTAATTTGCTCCTGTGTGTGTGCTGCTGCATGTACCTCTGTCGTCGTGCGGTTGTTATGGTAACGGCGATGTTGTCCCAGGCTGTGGCCCTCTCTCCTTTCCCCGGAGCCTCACAGCCCAGCCGACTCCAGCACTCATCGAATACACACAGCCACCTCTGAGCTGCAGGAACCACGTACTGACCCACTTTGCTGAACACACACACATTTTTAAGGTTTTAAAATAACACAACATGAGGAAGAGATATACAAAACGTCTTTGACTCCAATAGCCTGTTTCCAGTCACATGCATCACTTTATATAAATAATATCCTGCTTATACTGTGTTAACAGAAAAGTGGTCCTTCAATAGTGTTTTTATTTGTCAGACAGTTTATAGATGTTTTATCTTCACAGTCATCTGTATATTTTTCCAACTCTCTAATGCTGGTTTATTTCTATTTTGAGATGTTTATATCTTAGAATTGTTTATTTATACTCTTTTCATTTGTTATAATGGGCTTGCCTTGTTTTCTTTTATGCTGCTGCAACACAATAAAGTACATCTTATCCTATCATATTATTTTACAATAGAAAAACCTCCATACACAAGGAATGTCAAAAGGCATAGGAATGAATATACCGAAAACAGCTTGCACACTTGTTGGTGTCATCATTAAATAGGATGCTTTATTCAACATCCTCAATTGAGGATTCAAATGAAATAAAGGTGGTACAGTCCTAACAATCAGCAAGTTTCAGGTTCATTTAAGTGCAAAGTAATACTCACAGCAGGCTGCTCCTCTCTTTGTTTTCTGGTTCTTCTGGGGGGGGTTTGGTGTACGTTCCCACCACCTTCAGCCCGGAGGTCCACTCTCCACTGAACTGGCCCTCCAGACAGTCCCCGTTAGCCAGGGATAAAACCCCCTGAGTAGAAGGGGAGGGTGAGAAATGAATGTGTGTGATATCACTTAAACACCCTTCAGTTGTATAGGTCAGACTTTTGAGTGTTTTGGACTAGGCTTCTTGGTAGTGGCATGTATCCACTTTTGCATTAACAACTGTGACATTTTAAGTTGGAATGAATTACAAAAGGACAAGTCACTATTTTAAACAATTACTCATGTAGGTTTAAACAAGGAAACCCAGAGATCATGACACAGCTAAATTACATTACAAACAGTCTACCTTCCCATTGACAATCCAGTCATCAGAAAACTCCCCATGTAAAGCTGTGTCGTCATCTGACACCAACAGACCTGGACCCTGAAATAAAAAACAGTAAACAAATAATCCATTACCCATACAAATTCATTTGTTGTACATAAGAATATTGGTTTAAAATTGTATCAAATAAATATTCAAATTACTTGGCACATATATCTCTGACACTAACTCACGCAGACTAACTTTTTGAATTGATGCTGCTGCTTCCTCAATCTGTTGCGGACACTAAAACATTTTCACATTCAGCCATTTACTGTATATGCCAGAATTAAGAAGTACATATTTTAGGGGAGGCATCACCAAATGCCAGACTGTCAAGTGTTTGTTCTATATACATTTGAGTGACTTCATCTCTTTGAATTTTTACTGAATACCCCTGCTTGAGAGTGAACTTACACACATCTTGTTGTCTTTGAAGGTCCCTTCATAGTACACACCGCACTGAGTGACAACCACAGCGTTGCCATGGCGCTGCTCGTCCAGCCACAGTCCCATGTATTTCTCACCTCTGGGAAGAGCACATGAGAGACAGGTGTGTGTCTTAATGAACAACATTTCATTCACTCATTGCACATTCAGTACTGACAGCAAACTGCCCATTTGCACTGGGAATTTGTGGAAGAAACCACTGAAATAATTTGGACTAACTAAAACTAAACTTTATTAGATAAAAAAAAAACTAATACATTTTTTAGGTTAAATTAAGAAACCCTGGCTGCTCTCCTGAAATGTCCTTTTTTTAACTTTATTATTTGTACGGTAAATCAGACCTGGTCATGTCGTCGTAGACTCCGTATCCTGACTTCCCGTCATGGACCCACTGGCCAATGAAAACGCTGGAGGAGTTCTTGGCCAGTTTACCGGAGCTCAGCATGCCGTAACCGTGGCGCTGTCCGTCACAGAAACAGCCCTCGTACACCTCGCCACTCGCATACCTGCACAGAACCGCAGAGACATGAATACACACACAGGTAGTCTATATCGTTTCTTTAAAATGGCATGATATTTGGGGATTTTCAGCAATAATATTAGTGATAAAGACATGACCCCTGTGTTGTGGTTGTGTACACGCAAAAAAAGGTTTTAAAAAACATGTACTGACTTGTACTTGCCGAAGCCATGGATCTTGCCATCTCTCCACTGTCCTTGGTAGCTGTCTGGCTTATTCAGTACTTTGTTAGGTATTAAACACTCTCCATAGCTAGAAATAGAAAGAACAAATGTAGCGAAATATTGAGAAATTAGTTTTGTTTTTGCTGGTTAATCACACAGCTGGTCACAGCATCATCAGCTGGTTTTACTGTTTAAGGAGATACTGAATGGTTAAACAGGACTGAATAAGAAAAGTAGTTACCATCACTATGTTATTTTTCTGAAGGTTTTTAAACAATTTATCTCCTCCGTAAAAGGTAGAGGGATGTGTCATATTGGAAAAAAACAACATTACATGTTAACAATTTTTATATTTTTTCACCAGGTTGGTGTGCTTACCCTTCCTCCTGTCCTTTCTTAAAGTTCCCTCTGTAGGTGCGTCCATCTGGCCACTTCATGGTGCCTCTGTAAAGGCAAAGACATTTAACTATCCAACTATCTGCCCAAAGACCATCATTACAAAAGTTTAGAATCAACTTGTATCTAACATTTAACAAGAAATGGAAGGAAATGGGGCTGAACTGTTATCCCTATGTTCATCCTAAAACCATCTTATCACACCTCACCAGCAGGAACATTTTCAATATGCTTTCTTAAATGTGCATTCAAGAAAACTCAAATGTCCAAGGGATGGTAGTAGGCTGCCAGAAACCAATGCGCATACATTTCAGGAAGACACCACCCATATGCAAACACATTATCCTTGTACATACTGTGGATGCAGAGATGGAGATGAGATATGCGCACAAAAACAAAGCAGCTCTCTAACCTGCCATGAAGTCGCCCTGCCAGCCAGGCCCCGGTGTACTGGGCGTCTTTAAAGCATCCCTCTCCAGTGAACGTGTAGGGGGCCGTGCGGGACATCGCTGTCAGCCCGGGAGACAACCCCTGACCTGCCCCCCCCAGCATCTGATCCACCGCCTGGTTAAGAGACCGCAGCCACTTATTCTGGAGAGACGGAGAGAAAGACTTTTAAGAAAGAGGCCAAACAAGAGCAGTGATTTCTGAATCAAAGATAACAACATATCAGAGTTTCATAACAGGAGTGTCTCCATCTGCTGAGAGGAAGACATGTTATCTTATCAGAACATGGAAAGAGAAAATGGAAACACTCAAGCGGTAAAGTAGTTCAAGGTCATATTTAGATGTTTTATCCTAAAATATTTGATGCTTGCTGGTGATGGCCACCAAACATCGAATAGAAATATGTAGCTCTTTTGCTTCACAGTAACAATGAAACTTTCAAAACATACCTTCACTAGTGACTTGTACTTCTTAATGATGAAAATACACTCTACAGCAAGCAGGCAATACAGCTTTTATTCCTAAATATGCAGCGAAGCTTGCAAAAAATATGTTGTATAACATATTCTAATGAAAAAATAAATGGGTGATACGCTTCTAACCCATAAATGTACCTTCTCTTGTGGGGTTGAAGCCACCAGGGTGAAACTCTCCTCCGGGCATGTAATCTTGATGGCATAACTGGTGAGGAAATGCAAAAAAACAAGTTTTCAACTGTATCAAATAAATCAGGGTTGAGAACACAGACAGTTAACAAATGGAAGAAGTTTTCATAATTTGGAAAACTAATTTAAGATAGATCAACTTGTACAAGCTTTATTAACCTTCTGACCTGGATGACCCCACACTGTGTCTATGGCTGATGTTATAGTATAACATTACTGTACATGTGAGGGTCAGTGAGATGTCTTTGTGAGATGTGTAGCCTTTTCATCATCTTAAACATTGATGGTTTTCAAATGCAACAAACTCACTGTCCACTGCTGTCTTCAGTAACTGGTTTCACCCACAGACAGCTCAGAGGGTAGATGTGATGCGTGGAGAACTGCAGAGAGCAGAAGTTTAGGTGTTTTTATGTTGTCAGTAATTAAGACAATTTAGATCATGAGTCATCTAAGTTTCTCTGTGTGTCTTAATGTTATAATAATAGAACACATGACATGAAGCCAAAACAACAGAGAGAAACAGGACAGGTTTCACCACTATCTGCTGTCTATTAACCACACCAAACAGAGAGGAAGGCAAACGATGCTATACTGAAACAAACACAGTGCAGAGGGAAAACACAGAGGAAAGGTCAACAGTAAATAGGTTTTAATCCACCAAGATGCCCCTTGAAGCTGATGTTCTCTTGAATCAGAGTCTTGTGAAAGCTAGAATTCAGCTCTGAGTTGCATCCTTTCCCCAGCACGAGCTACTGCAACAATGACCTTTTGACCCCTAGCTGACTAACGTCACTGTTGCGTCTAAACACACGGTCACACACACAGCAGCCTGTTTGGTAGCGGCCCAGTTTAGATCAGCCATCAGGATAATGTGTACAAAATAAATGTTAACACAGGATTTCTGCAATGCTAAGGAGTGCAAAACTACAATGCTCAATATGAATTTAGCTAGTGTACACCGATTGGCGTGACCCAAAGGACAAGACAACTCAATACTTTTTAACAGATGATTGGGAAAAATATTATAATCCTACGTGAAATAATGAGTTATTACGTCTCTTGGCCTGAAAGACCAATCGAAAACATGCATGTGTTTTTGCGTAAACAGTCCCTTTAACATTGCATTTAGTCCTGTGTTATCATTCATTAACTAATTCCATGTGAACCTGTCAGAGTGTAAGCACTGAACTGAGGCCAGCCACCCATGCTGCTGCTGCAGCACAAAGCTCAGGAGAGTTTGGTGAACTGCTGTCAGATATACTCACGAGGCTCTGAGAGGGAATGGCACCCTGAGTGAATGAAAGATACAATGTCAAGTACAAAGTTGAATGGAAGAACACAGTAGTGGATGTCCAGGAAGATAGAGCCGGTGGAAGCATTGTCATATCCCAGATTTTCTCAAATGTAAAGATTTGGTGGACTTTCAAACTCTACAATGAATGTATTACTTGTAAAATAAAGTGCTTCCAGGCCTTACCTACAAGTTGAGCGAGTCAATATGAATAAAGGAATTTAAATGTTCACAAAAAAACAGATCAAAGAGTAAAATAAGTTAATTTATGGAATAGTTGAAAAGGAAATTAACTTTTGAGACACTTAATACATTTAAGTAAAACAGGAAGGATGAATTATGAATATACAACTGAGGTATGAACACTGGCGTATATTATATTTTCTTGATTAGGACTTGTTGTGTATATATAATCTACATTTAAATGAGTTAGTATCGATAATTTATTATTTGTTGTGTATTAGAGTTTAATAAGTAAAAAACTACAGAAATATACTAAACAGATCTGAACTGCCATAATATAATGTGGAGTTTCTATGATGTGTGGAAAGTGAATGAAGATGGAAATAAATCTAGGGTTAAAAGGCTTTAAATGGTCACCATGGTCACCTGATGACACCATGAAGCAAAAGTAAAAATATCTAGCATAATTTTTGCTATTATTTGTACAGGTGTTCTGTGTTTGCATGTGTGTGTACCTGTGTGTGCACCAGTGTGTCGTTGAACAGAATGAACCAGTGGTTGGAGAACCGCCCGGCGTTCTGCAGAGTCAGAGATCTGTTGCTGCTCTCACACACCACGCGGCGCTGAGGGAGGCGCAGGACCTCCTGATGACAAACACACAGGGATATTTGCTCATTAAAATCTCAAATCTGTTAAAAAATATAATATGTGAACTACAACTTACAGTGGAGACCAACTGTACCACTTTAGAAAGTAGTGGTGGTATTGGTTTAAAACCTCAGAGATGCATACCTTCTTTATCTTGTGTGCATCATAGTTTGTTTGGCAATGTAAACACTGTTTTCACACCTAAACCAATCAATCAGCTTTAAATAACTTAACACAGAGTTGTGCTCACTGTAGTTTTTCCAGAGTGGCTCTTCCAGAAGAGGAAGGTGGTTTCAGCCTCCTTTTTCTTCCTCAACAGAGACAAGGACAGGGTGTCAAACTGATTGCAGCCCTGATGGAGGAACTGATACTCTGTAGTTAACTGGGGGAGGAAAAGAAAAAAGTGAGAGACTTCAACTCTTTTTATCGTCTTAGAACATGTTGAAAAGTCCACATGGCCAGCTCTTAATGGTATAGCTCCATTAACAGATCTACTGTACACTGAAGTAAATATGCTAATACAGAATATAACAATTCTAACTTCTGTCACAACTGCAATGTAAAAAATATATTATTATAATATTGGATCAAAAGGAAGTACTTCTTTATTTTAAATGTATCTAATTTACTGCTCATTAACAATAAATTACAAATGTCAATATGGTCATGAAGTCTTTATCTAGGAATAGGTGTTTGAGCCAATACAATGAAAGTAATTGACATCAATATATTCACAGTTATTAATTCAGAGGAAAGAAAGACATTTGGAGAAAAGGGAAGAGAGCGATAATAAAAGGAAGATAAAGAGTAAACGGTAAACAGAAAGAAGAACAGAGAGCGGAGGGTTTCCTTTCTCACCACATCGAAACAGGCTGCCAGTTTGAGCATGACTCGGCTGTACTGGTGCAGCTGCTGCAGCGGCCGGTAAAACACAGAAACCAGATCAACGTCACCACCGAGGGACTGGTCTGCACACAGCTGAGCCAGCACCGTCTGCTGAGAGCCCAAACACTCACTGGACACAAAACAAAGACAACACACGACTCAATTATCCTAATCATTTAACAACATGTATTTGTGTTGATGGGAGCTTTTCTCAAATATGCTGTGTTGGAACTCTTTCTGGCGGCACATGATCACTTCCTGTTTGGTTATTTAGGCTTCTCGTGATCATCAGCAAAAATAATAAATGTTCAAACTGACATTAAGGCTGTGTTTCAACCAAAAATGCACATTTGCTGTGGCACTTGAAGAGATCTCATTAATTTGCATTTTTTGGTAAAAACATGAAGAAAAAAACAAAGGATCTTACAGTGAGAGTTTATGGAGTGATCGGAATCCACCCATCACCTCAAAGTTACCTACTGAAGAACAATACCTGGAGAGAGAGAAAGAGAGAGAGATGTCAATGTGTGTTTCCATTTCATTTACCATACTAGATTCAATATAGAACGTGCAATTAACTACTCATGTAAGTCCTTGGTGTGAACTATTTGTACCTCTATCTCTTATCAACAGTATTCCTGATATTGTTCCATCTACTGTCAATATAAACTCAGTAAGATTTCATTTCATTTGCTCTGGAAAATGTGTTACACCTTCCTCGTTTGTGTCTGAAACCAATGTACCTAAATTCCACATTCGTCCAAACAAGATTAAAGAACAAAATACTCAAATTCAGGAAAATACATTTACAGTACAGTTACAGCATGCGGGGACTGTTGTTACATTAGTGGACTTATCATTGAGTCCATTAATATAAGTTGTTAATGAATGTCATCTCTAACTGTTAAAGCATTTGTAAAAACATTAGTCACATCAACTAAAGCAAGAACGTTTTATAACGTTTTAAAACGTTAACGTTTTAAAATAAATATGAAAGTGTACTCGTAAATAGATTGAGAGACAAAAAGGAGACCCTTACTCTTTATAAATGTCCATAAAGTGCTCAGTGTGCGTCAGCAGGGGAAGGGCAGTGACGTCAGAGCTCTGCACTTCAAGCAGGAAGTAGCTTAGTGACGTGGAGTGTCGGCCAATCAGGACGCTCAGACGAACAAAACTCTCACAGAGAGAGAAGAAGAGGTGTGTGCATGGCTCACCTAACGAAGGACACACACTCTCTGTGGAATACACACATATAAGGTTGATGTAGTCACCATTACCACGCCGAGTAGATGCTCAAATAACGCGTCTACAATTTCACAGATTATTTGTTGTATTTTAAAATGTTCTTTTTCCATTTGCCACAATTCAATTAATGTACATCCAAGAGGAACATTACATTTCTCATATTCGAAGGCCCCAGTAGTAAAGGGTTCAGAGGTGCAAATACAGAGTGATACAGCACAGCATTTGGCTCTTATCATCAAAGATGGAGCCAGTACAGATGCCTTCTCACCTTTATTCCGCAGCGGAGTGAGGAGGAGCTTCTTAGCGCTGCTCAGCCAGCAGTAGAAGTGTCTCTCTCTGGAGGCCAGCTCATGGATGGCCGAGATGAATCCCATGATGTTCTGGTCTGCCAGCACCGCACAGCGCTGACCCCCGCTGCACACGCTGCTGATGTAACCCATCTACACACACAGAGGAAATAAGCATGATTTTTTAGTTTTCTTTCATCCAAGTGCTTTCTCTTCGTTGCTTTTGATATAGTTTCCCAGCTTTCCCCTGACTTCCTCCCTTTGTGTAATGTACAATCACCAGATTTCAGCTGTGAATGACTGTTGTCTTTGTGTGCTGTATGTAGGTTTCTCAAGTTTCAAGGCTTTATTGTCATTTGCACATTAGCTACAGTGTAGATATGTCAATGAAAAACTTACGTCACAGGCTCCTCCAACAGTGCAACATATATAGGACATAGAAAAAATATAACAGCAAAAATTGTGCAATAGAATGTTTTGAGATGTGCAAGTAAATACAAATAAAATAGAAATAGTGCAAGAATAGTCTATATACAAGTAAATGGAATGATTCTGCTGTGGGATCAAGGATTTCTGCAAATACCAATTTAGAAGCATACTTTTTATCGTTTTAGTCATAAACTGAGAACTATGTTAAAATAAATATACTCCAGTGTTGCAGTTTGAAATGTGCTCCACCCATCGTCTTCTTTTCTGTCGGCCCATTAGAAGAAAAAACATCAGTTATGTTTTGGAAATACAAACCTCCATGCAGAAGGGCAGCAGGCTGGGTCTGACTGTGTAACTCTCGGCTCTGTTGGGTGACCTCTGGCATGACCTTTGACCCTGCTGTGACTTCTCACTCTGGGCTGACGTTTGCTCTTGCTGCTGGCCGCAGTACAACAGGACCGGCTGCACACAGTCTCCATCAGCCAGGAGGAGGGAGTGGCTCTGCCCCGCGGACAAGTCCCAAACCCGAAGACCATCAGACAGCTACAGCCAGGGACCAAACACACACTTCTGTTAGGGTTATTCGCTGGTTTGTTGTAGATTTGTTACCATAACAAAACCCAGATTACTCCACTGTATGTTGTTAGACAGCATCCACACTGCATGATTTGGCAAAGCCTGGACATCTCCCACATTTTCAAAGAGTCAATCTGCTGTAAGTAGCAACTGCAATCTTTTCAAGTCACCCAACCCACATTTTTTAAATCCGGCAGCCCCCAAGACTACGCTTTACACAATGTACAATTGAGGAAGTGTGGATGTGTTTAGTTGTCAATGAAAGGATTCAGCGAGTGTAGACACTAATGTTATTGGAGTTTCCATACAATGCAGAAGAATTGCAGTACATGAGACATACAGTATCTCTTTTGATGTCTCTCTCTTTCTTATTTCAGCTAATTTGCATTTGTATTCCTATGTTCAATATGTTTTACAATACCATCTTCAGCCACCTAAAGATATGTTCATTTATATTTTTTATATATATATATATATATATATATATATATATTATATACAGATTGCCGTACCTTTATCTGTTGAGGTACAGTGACAGGACTGTTGACGTGACCGAGCTGTCCACACATGTTGCTGCCCCAAGAGTACACCTGAAGAACAGGAGGTCAGTGAGTCGGTGTCAATGTATTAGTACAATTGTGCATCTCTGTTCAAGAGGAACAGTTTGACTTTTTAAAGTTGGCTGACATGTAGGTCAGTCACTACTTCTTTAAGCCTTGTATGATGCTTATACTGTATTTCAGTCTAAAGTTACATCCAGGTTAGGTTAGGGCCTGCAGTGGTGATGATTAACCAATAGTGTCAGAGGTGTCAAATAGAGTGCTCATACAATCAAACAATAGCGGGTGTGTGTCTGCTGTATCTCTTTTACCTGGCAGTGGGCGGTGAGGGCGAGTGAATGGTGGGACCCTGCAGCAACTTTGATCACCTCCTCGCCGGTCAAAGGCTTGATACACAGAGGCTGGAGTCTATACACACACACATCATGTATACATCACTTCAGGGGACATTACATTGACTTACATGCATTTCCTGGAGACTTATCCTAACCTTAACCAACACATGCCTAACCCTAACTTTAAAATTAAGGACACACACACACACACACACACACACACACACACACACACACACACACACACACACACACACACACACACACACACACACACACACACACACACACACACACACACACACACACACACACACACACAACACACACACACACACACACACACACACACACACACACCACACACACACACACACACACACACACACACACACACACACACACACACACACACACACACACACACACACACACACACACACACACACACACACCACACACACCACACACACACACACACACACACACACACACACACACAATCCATTCTGTTTCTGATGTTAAAATCAGCACAGTATAGCCAAAGTATATTTACCATTAAAAAATAAATTGTACTGACATTTGAAGAGAAATAAATCAAACCTTATTAATTTGACTGTGTTTTATTAGGAACTGTTAAAGAGACTATAACTGCATGATGGCTTCACATGGAGCAAGTAAACATTGAACATCCAAATCTGCCACAGGACAAACTGATAACGATGGTTTGTGTCAAAGAAGAAGATCTTTTTTCTATTATTACTAAGAGTGCATGTGAGTGTTTGTCCGCACCTGGCCAGCTGGTCTCCGTGGCCCAGTTGCCCCTCCGACCCGCGGCCCCAGCTCCACACTTCTGTCTCCAGAGAGGGCAGCCCGGCTCCAGCCTCCTCCGGGGCCGCGGCCTGGGTCCGACCGGCGGAGGACGGCCTGCAGGCACAAGGCCTCCGTCGCTGTGGAGACCCTGGAGGAAAATATACATTTGAGCATCTGTCAACGCAGCAAAATGCACATGTTTTATACTGCTAAAGGGTAAAGGAAACATGGCCAAAGTTACATTTCCACACAAAGGTTCCCATATAACAAGTGTAACATGAGTCTGTAGCATGTCTATGTTGCCTTTCCTCCACAAATAAACTGCCCCACATTTAATAAACAGTTTCTTTACCAGTCCGGATGAATGGTACAACGTGGGCAAACACACACAAACAGCACTGAACTGGTTTGGTATGCACTTGCCATAATGACTTTGTGAGCTCCTCTTGCAGACACTTTTAAATCCTTTTGTCCTTAAAGTAGCCAGCAAAGAACTGTGTGAATTGTTTGATAAGAGGTAAGATTAGGAAATCACAGGAATAAAAAGGAAATATATAAATAATATGGGATGAGTTGTGTAGAAGATCCTAAAGTCCTACACTTATGATCAGCCACAGTGGTTAACACAGGATATAAATTATTTACTGCTATTCAATATGTAATTAATACATAAAGATGTTAGTGATTACTTAAACTGAAAAGGGTCTATATACTGGATGGTTGCTGATAAGGGATATCACTTTGACACTTTGTTAAGTCTGGTCAAACTGGAAAACAGGAAGATTCAACTATCAAAACATTTCTGGATTTTTAACAGACGTTTCTTTTACTATAGATATTCACAACTCATTAAAAATACGTAAGAAAGTGTGATTCATTCTCAACTTTCCCTATTTTGCATAATAATTGACATTATGAGTATACCTTTTATGGCTACCAAGAGGTTTTTTGATTGGTAATGTGTAGTCATTTAGATTTTCTCTTAAGAAAAAGTTAATTATTGTTATCTCAAAAGAAGAAAAATAATGTTAACTTAAGATATCATTGTTAATTGTAACAAGTGAATAAGTGTATGCTGTGTGCATGACTTATTCAGGAGACCTATTATTATTATTATCCAGGGAGGCAAGGTGAAAGGCAAACAAGGCAATAACATTTGAATTTCTCTTCCTTGTTGGCCAGGCTGCAACTTCGATGAGAAGTATGTTTTCAGGGTCTGTGGTGGCACCTTTTTAGAAGATGAAAACCAAATGTCATGTTGTATCTGTTCATTTAAAATCAAGCTGGAGCCAGCAGAGTTAGTACTAGTATTAAAAAAGAAACCTATCAAGTAGCTAAAGGTCAGAGTGCATTGGGAATACAGGATTTTGAATGAAAAGGGCCTTTTCCAGTAATTTTCATGCAAGTGTTGCCTTCAGGGCATTTCTATTACATTACATGTAATTTGTTAGGCGCTTTTATCCAAAGCGACTTACATACTCAATACAGTGGGCAATCCCCACAGGAGCAATTTGGGGTGAAGTGTCTCAGGGACACAACGACATGCTGACTGCAGTGGGACTCGAACTTGCTACCCCTGATTCGAAGTCCAGCACAGGTCCACTAAGCCACAGCCTCCCACTCTATGTTTTAACTATTTGTGAAACTAATTGCCACTTAAAATCTACCAAGCCCACTGCATCCCACTTTGAAATGCTGTAGGTTTCTGTTTCACACATATTTATTTACAGATTTTATCCCACATTTTAGCTCCTTGGTTTGTTTGTTTTTGTATGTGCGTTTACTGTGTTTCTGCATAAGACTTATTGCCCCTTGGGGGAATAACAAATAAGTTTCAAATTTGAAAGATTGAAAAAAGCAAGCCTTGCTCTCTCAAAATCAAAGTTCAAAATGTATGCTACCAGGAGCAAAAACATGTTAATTAGCTCATGGCTTCACGTTTCTTGGTCGACATCTTCTTCAGTCTTTATGCTAAGCTAAGCTAATAGCCTCCTTGTTTCATGCTCATGGTTCAGGTACAAATCTTCCTATCTAACTCGTTGCAACAAAGTAAATGTTTCCTAAATGTGGTCAACACCCTGCCATTCCTACCACGGGTGGGTGTTCCAGGCAGGGAGCGTCTCCTGCTGGCTGCTGGGGTCCCCTTCTGGTTTATATTTGTGAGACTGGTGCTCTTCTGCCCCTGTAGTGCCTGTTTCTCCGCCTCCAGACAGAGCCGAACTTCTTCCAAACACACTGGGGAGGAGGAGTACGCCACAGCCACTCCACTGTTACAGTAGGAAAGAAGATCAGAGATCTGGCATCATACATGTGTTTACGCTGAGAAACATCCTGGTATGTGAATACTTCACAATGACTAGGTTTTCACTGTTTATCTGCATTAGTAAACCTCTGTATTAAAATGAAAATCTTCTAGTCAGACTTGCCTTATTTTTACAGCAATTAAACAAGTATTAAATAAGTTTAAGATCTACAAAAGTTGCATTTCAAATGTTCTTTATGCTATTTGAGTGTCAACCTCTCAACACAATATTATTGAAAAATGTAATTCACTGCCTAAAAAAAGTGCATCACTCTCAACTTTAGTCAAATTGCCTTACTTGTTGGATTGACCCTTAATTGGCGAGTCTTCTTTGTAACTGGAAGTCAACAGATCCGTGGAAGGAGTCGAGGAAACACAGCTGTCATCTGGTAAGAACCATGACAAGAGGGAATGAATACAAATATTTTTTACACACAACGGATCTAGCAAAGCATTGAATAACCAATAAACAAGCTACATACATGAACAAATAAAAAAACTAGTGAAAAACAATAAACAAATGAACGGGAAAACGCAAAAAGAACACAGGGATACAAATTTGAAAGAAATAAACACAGAAGAACAAATAAACAAACTTTTACATGAAGACAGAAGAAAGAAAACTGAATTCCCAACCTGAAGTGTAACTGCTCAGTGAGTCAGTGTCTCCTGGGCCGGTGCTCTGGTGAATCTCCAAGGGCTGACTGGAGAGTTTCTGAAGGAGGTTATTAATCTCCGTTCCATCAGAGAACGCAGAGTTCTTATTGGCTCTCCAGCCTAAGGGCCGGTGAGACTTTGGGCTGCCGTCAGTCTCACTGAGAGGGTGCCCAAATGCAAGATTAGTCCTGACGTTTTGCAATGGAGGAAAGAGGTTACAAAGAGAACATTTGAAAAACAAAATGACTATATGAGGGATAAAACAACAAACAATACCGTACTGTTTAGTGTAAGATTTGCCATCTTCAGAATATGGACATGAACCGGTTGCAGAGCCAGGACTGCTGCCAGCTGACCTTCCCCCAGGATGCAGCCTTCGTCTGGGGCCTCTTCTTCTGGGAGAGCTCTGGGGATGCAAACCATCGAGGGGCATCAACGAAGGCTGAAAAATCTAAACTTTATAAATGAGCAAAACACTAAATATGAAGGCTGTCCAGAAACACATAATTTTCTTCTGTTTCTTCTTCATGGTATATAGTTACCTCGCCTGTCATGAATTCACTCAGCTCCACCCCCAGCGGACAGTAGTGACCGGCATCCACTGCAAGCTGCTCTTCCCTTTCAGTCACTGAATAATGAGGTGACTGACCCCACTCCCTCTTCTCAGAAGGATTCTGGGTCTTCTGTGCAGGTAAACTGCGAACCACGGCCAGGCTGTGATAGGCACCACAAGCCACCTGTTGAAAAATAAATAGAGAGGATATTCCCGGACATAGAATAGAGTATTTTATTGTAAGTTAAATCTGGCAATGAACATTTCAGGAAGAGAAACTACCTGAATAACATGTCTGCCTGCCAGATGCTCCACCTGTTCCAGTGTTTAAAGGGATTAATAGAATAAACACAGTTTTGTCAGTTGCTCACCTGCACAAACATTCAAAAGCATTATTGATCTACCAGTGGTGGAATTTTGAATGCTGAAATTCATTGAGCTTTATACAAATTACCTTCTTAGGTCTCCACACAGGAAAGGTACTGGTGACCAGTCCAAGCTGGCAGCCGCTGCCCCAGGCCCACAGCTCGTTCTGGGCCGACAGAGCCAGGCTGTGCTCCCGTCCAAGAGCCAGATCCACAACCCGAACCCCTGCTGGAGGAACGGCCTCGCTGTCCACCACTGTGACCGGGCAGGGCTCTGAAACTTACACAGAATGTTCCACATAAGTTTTCCCCAAAATGTTGTAATGGATGAAAACAAAAAATGTATAGAGCAGTTTCCAAGCAGATGGTGATGGACAGAAAACCTGGTGGGAAGAAAAGAAGAAAGGAAGAACGTGGACCAACCTGTGATGTTTGTGACTGTGTCCCTCTCAGTCAGCCCACACTGTCCTGCAGTGTTCTCCCCCCACATGTAGACATTGCCCTGCTCGCTCAGTGCTCCACAGTGAAAACCACCGGCAGCCACACGGACCACCACCCTCTCCATCAGAGAGGCCTCCAGTAGGGGAGCAGACACCGGGACGCTCAGATCCCTCCATGACAACTCTCCAAAAGAGTACACCTGTCCACCTGGAAGACAGCAACAGTAGAAATCAGCGTTTCCGCCAGGGGGGGCGTCTTGCCGTCATTTGACGCCCTTATTCAGCTCGGGACGCCCTGAACTCGAGCCGAGGGCGTCCAAACATATTAATAATTCGAGAGAACATCGAGAGTTTTTATCGCTTGACATTACGAAAAAGAAAAAAGGACAAGGACATCCCTCAGGGCAAAGGAGTCTGCTACAGGACAACACGGAACGTGCGCGATTTGGACGCGATGAGCGGGGGGGTTTTAGTGGAGCACGCGCGTGAGCTGCGAGCACCGGAGCCTCGCAGCGGCGAAACTGAGACTCCGTGGTAAACTGTGGTAACATGAAGAGCCGTTTGGGAGCCGAAACAGCCGGCGCTTTAAGAGAGCCGAACCAAATGATCCGGCTCACTAACGTAAAAAGACGGTATCTATAAGGGACACGGCTCAAGTCAAAATTCAAGCACCCCCCCGCTCTCGGGGTGGACGCCCTCTCAGCCCTGGTCTAGCGGAAACACTGGTAGAAATAGATGTATTGACTTTAAAGGTCTTCAATATAATAATAACCAGCAGCAACTTCAAAGCAATCCCCGCCTACAGATATAATGTATATAAAAAAAACTCTCACTTTTCAATACAAATGTATTTCTCCTCATTACAATACCATGTTATATTGACACACCCACCCTGTGTGAGCAGGAGTCCATGGTGTTCTCCAAGGGCCACCTGCAGGACGGGCCTGGCCAGCAGCACTCTCCCCGGACAGAGCTGCGCGGGGGGGCCCGCTGACTGCCATGTGTGGAGCAGGCCTCGCTCTGGAGGAGTAGGGGCCTGTTCGTCTGCAGGGCTGCAATATTACGTACATGCAAATGCATCATAAAAAACAAGGCTGAAAGCCGCCTCAAATAGAGATAAGATAACCAGATCATGATTCAGCCTAAACACATGTGAACACAAACCAAATTTGAACCACCATCCAAGTTATGAAACCACCTGTGATTTCTAATTGTTTTATGTAATGTGATTCACCGACATTAACATGAGTTCTCTCAAAGTTGGATTACATTCCAAAGCATTCATCCCTAAACCTAAACTTGTTAATTCAGCACCAGCAGGCCATGACATGCAGAGATCAGTGGTCCAATCACAGGTCTATTCACACATAAGGGAAACAAGATTTGGCATCTTCTTTTGATATTTAACATTTTTCCAGTTGAGGTTGCTAAGGATATATAATCAGGACAGGGTGTGTGTGTGTGTGTGTGTGTGTGTGTGTGTGTTTACCTCTCCTCTCTGTTTTCCATTACTTCAGACTATCCATTCCAGAGGACAGTGAAGGCATCTTTATCAACATTTTTCCGAAGTATATTAACGTTTTCCTTGTTATTTGTAGTAAACCTGTTGATAATAAAAAACATATATTGATTGAATAAAAACTGAAATGTGCCTTCACCGTGAACATTTAGAGACCTTATTATGAATACACTCAGTCCTCAGCAGTTTGAGTAACTTAAATTACGATTATATAGACAAACTAAGAATTTAACTTCAGGAAGGGAGGTTTGTGATTGTTATGTCAGTCACTGGGAGGACGAGGAGTGGTTTCTTTTATCTTTACTGGATTCTGTTGACAAGTCCCCACAGCTCAATACTCAGTGAAACTATGTGAGAGCTGGGTCATTGTTGTCCAGTCTGTGGTAGGTCTAACGTTAAAGCCTGTTAGTAAATTACACAGAGATTAGCTTAAAAACATGTTCTGTCACCGAGGGAAAATAGAGACCATTGTTGCTATCTTGCCAGCTTTGCATGTGTCAACAGTTTAGCATATAGCGATATTAACTCTCCCCTTAGATAAAACAGCAATGTTGTGTGTTATAAGTTAGGGTTAGGCTAAAAGACATAAGTTGGTTAGCTTAATGCTACCGCTGCTAAAGAAGCTAACTAAACTTACCAACTCTCGGTTTGAAGTCGTCGTCGCTGAGACTTTGTGAGACTGCAGCTCTGTTAAGCCGGGTAGCTGTGTGCAGCTGTCACTGCAGAAACACCGAGCTATGACATTTACTTCATATTCAAATCAGTGCAGCGCATTGAAAGCAGAAGTTGTATCTGACAGTTGGTTGGATCCACCTCTCTGACGGCAGCCGGGCAGGGACAAACATCGGAGCCGTGCCACACCTGTGGCTGCTGCAGTGTAAAGAGGGGTTAGAGAAATGAGAAGGGGCCACTCTGTTATTTCCAGTGCTGGGGTCTGGCTGCCACCATGACCTTTTCAGATACAGAATTCTAACCTTCTTTGCTTATATTAGGCCAATCCGGACCGCATCTGCTAATAAAATAGCAGTATATTTCCCCCATATGGCTAGTTTCAAAGTTAATGCAGGTTATAGTTGGCTGTTTTTTCCTGCTATAGCCCATAAATGTACTGTTTAGACAAGAATATAATAATAATAATAATAATAATAATAATAATGTGTAGCGCAGCGCTCACGGTTTTCTTCCTCAATCCATTCTCAAATATGTGAAAGTCTATACTTAACCCTACATTAAATATGTTTAATTATCAATGTAAGCAATAACTGTAATTGCAGTGATGGATTGCAGCACAGTGTATTTACTTACTAATATTGTCCACTAAAGGTATTTGATGGACTTCCCAAATTCATTTTTCAAAATATAATTAACAAATAAATCATCATATTGTTAGTTCCATCATCAACATTAGACACAAGTGGTGAAAACATTTGTGCATTATTAATTATAATCCAATAATATCCTATCATGTACATTATTTCGAAGTCAGTCAACATAATAAGTACCTTTACTTTTGCTACCTTAAGTATATTACTAAGGACTTATTCTCAAGAGATGTTTCTACTGTAGTATTAATACTTTTCCTTGAGAAAAAGTTCTTACAACTTCTTCCAGCAATATGTATTGTTTGTATCATCCTACTTCCATAATGGCTGCTACATTTGAAGTATTGTGTACCTATGAGTGAAGGTGTGTTAGCACAGGATACATTTAGAGTGAAGGGACGAGACAATCCTTGGTTTTCTGCTGAATTATCTAGTCTCCTTCATGAGAGAAACAAGGCCTGGGCAAAGGATAGGAAATCAGGCTCAGAGGTAGAATGGCTACGCTTTAGGCAGCTAAGAAATAGCTTCACATCACAAATAAAAAGTGCTAAGTCGAAGTATTTATCTGTCAGTTACCACAAAAAACCTGAATAACCTTGGAACATTTTGGAAAGACATAAAATCGATATCCACCGGTGAAATCCGTAATGAGCTACCTCCGTGCCTTACCACAGCATCTGTCACTATATCGGACAGGGCCACCATGTTAAATTGCTTTAATAAGCATTTTGTGTCCTGTGGCTCTCTGTTTGATTCTGTCACTAACTGTGCTTCTGTGAACACCTCAATCCGTGACTCTGAACAATGTGGTCTGGAAAACCCTTTCAGTTTTATTCCTTTTACGATTGATGTTGTTCGTGAAGCATTATCTAAGTTAGATCCTAAGAAACCGGCTGGAACCTTTCTTTTTAAAGATAGCTGCAGATTGTATTGCTCCACCTCTCACTACTCTTTTTAACCTCTCCCTCAGCACAAATGCAATTCCAAAAGTATGGAAGCATGCTTTTGTCCTGTGTTTTTACACTGTGCCCATGGATTTGATGTTATTTCAAGTTTTTTAATTACGTCGCTAAACTCCTTGAAAAGGTCCTCTTCCTTTTCTCCAAGGTACACGACAAGGCAGCGGATGGCTATAGTTCTTTGCGTACTTCAATTGTATTGTGCTATTTTTCAAAAAGGAAAAAAAATTAACTAAATTAATATATTCTGAATGGGAGACTGTCAACAACTTGCATTTCAATGACAACTCTAAATAACGATCCTACCTCAAGAAGCATGTCCTTGATCTGCTTCACCGAGATTCATTTTTAATAAAAAGCGATATCACAATAGTAACCAAAGTATTTTTACTCTCACAGTAGCCTCTACTACTTTGTATCCTCTCACAGAACTATTCACAGTTCAAAGGCTGCTAATTTTGGTCAAACAGCAATTTGCCTATACATTGCAACTACAAGGCTACTGTATTAGAATGACAAAAGATGACACTCACCTTAAAATGTCCTTTGTATATTTCTATTTGTCTTAACTGTTGGAACTTGTCCAGGCATATTAAGTGGGAGTGGACTTGAAATCCTTAACTCAAGGTGTCGAACAATTAAGTTATCAAGCCAATTGCATTACTAATTGCAGAAATCAGAGTTCAAATTACACACAATATTAAGTTGATGTAATTACCAACATTATTACGTCAACACAACTTATAAATTAATGTTTGCAACTTAAAATGTTTATCTAAATCAATTAACTCACATTTTTATCTTGCAACCATGCATTTAATTAAGTGGAGGTGAAAGGTCGCCTGAATTCGTTTTTAGAGTGTACAAATACATGTTAGGGAAACTTCCATCCTACATCTGCTCCCTGGTCTCACGGCGAATTGTAAGTGGCTACTGCCTGAGATCGAATGCTGTGGTCTTATTAAATGTGCCAACTGCTAGGACTGTCTTAGGGAAGATAGCTTTTAGATGCGCAGCTCCGCTAACTTGGAACAGTCTGCAAAAGGAATGGAAGCTGAGCAATTTGGTTCCACTAAATGTTTTTAAAGCAAGGATAGATGCTATCCAATCGGAAACTGTTGGAACCTGTAAATGTTACTAGCTATGTAAACTGTAGTCGCTGTAAATATGCTGTAAGATGTCCTTTTTGTTTTTCTGTTATGTTTATATGTATAAATGTGGAACCTACTTGCAGCAGGTCACCCTTGGAAAAGAGATCAATGATCTCAATGGGATTCACCTGCATAAATAAAGGTTTGAAATGAAATGAAATGAGGATACGATGGGTTCCTCAGCTGTGTGTTGAAACAGCAGAGGTCTCCCTCCTCTGAGCTGCACAAGCAGAAATGGCTACACCACACCTTCCCTTTTATGGCTCCGATTGCCGCCCAGATGTTGAGCAGCAGTACCAGCACTCATAAACCACTGAAACCTTTAAACTTACAAATGTTGGAAAAATAGACACAGAATAACCCTTTGAGTCCTTGGATACAACATAAGAAGACACAGGATCATGTTTTACAGCAATACATTTTGTGATAATGTTCAGTTGTCCCTCAACAGTATTCTCTGTTTATATTTGAATCATCCCTCTATTGTGTATAAAGGGTGTGCAGTCCATGACAGAGAAGCTCTACGCAGTTTTTCCATGGATCTGGTGTCTGGAGGTTCAGTGAGTCAGCCTCTGAAGAAATACCTAAAGCTAAATGCAACATCTGCTCATTTGCTCCTCAACATTTAGTGTTATTTTATTGCTCCTGACTCACACACCGCCAATGCAAAAAAGAAACAAAAAAAGTGGCCATGGTTAAGTTTGACTAAGAAAGACTTTGATATATTACCAATTGCAAAAAGTATTATCCTCAATTATGTGTTGCTGATCTCTGTTGCAAGAGGCCCATTTGAGTATCAGATTCTCACAAATGTCCCAACACAGTCCTCAATCCCATTACATCACCTTGTGGTTCCTTACCCTTTGGGCATCCACAGCTCTTTTTTTTTACTCCGAAGATAAACAGTTTTTGATGCGTCATTTCTACAATTTACCCTTTCCTCGCTATTATTAATGTACATTAACAAAATGGGTCAATACATGTATATAAATGTATATATATATTATAATGCTAGATTATTTTTTCCCCTTTCATTTATTTTCCCTCCCTGTCACCCATGTTCGTGATCAGCTCTTGTTTGCAGTTTAAGTGCTTTCTATTTAAAAGTGTCCAGCAGGTTTTGGCTCTGACTTTAACTGCCTGTTGTAAAACAAGGGGGGGGGAAATGAAAAAACTATACTAAAAAAGGAAAAAGGGCAGGAAATCCAGAGAAAGAGTGGTGTAATAATTTAGCTTTTTGGAGCTGAATCCAAGACATAAAAGAATAGAGCTGCTGGCAGCTTTTGGAGTCCTAAATCCATGTGCTCCTTTTTCTTCCTAATCTAATATTACGTTTTCACCACACAGGCATCCCAGTGTTGAGAACTTCAGCTCTATCCTCCTAAGAGACACGTTACTGTTGTTCAAGTTCTATTTTCAAACCATCAGCATCATATTGGATTACTGTAAATTCACCACTCCCTGTTAAAAATCTCACCATAACTTGAACTCACCACCTCAGCTGACTCGATTGTGATTTAAAATGTATTTATTTGGGACGATAAGACTACGTCTGTCAGCACGAGTAGTTAAGATTACAATTAAGCTTGAGTACGAAGATGAGCTTGGTCTGAGCAAGGGGGGGCAATATTCTCCAAACAAAAAAACTAATCTCACAATCTTCCTGTACCCCTTTTTACCCTCTATGCATGCAAGCACAAAAATACACATTCACAGTAAACCCATATCGTGACCTGAACAGCCTGTATTCCCCGTCCAAATCCTCATAAACCTCTACTGCTGCTGGAAACAACACAGCCTGGATTCAAAAGTGTGCAGTGTGTGTGTGTGTTTGTATGTGTTTGTTACCTACTCTGCTGCTACTCACGACATTATGGTCAATCAAACCACTTTCTCAGACTTGTGTGTCTCTGCGGCCTGGCTGTAAGGCACACACACACACACACACACACACACACACACACACACACACACACACACACACACACACACACACACACACACACACACACACACACACACACACACACACCACACACACACACACACACACACACACACACACACACACACACACACACACACACACACACACACACACACACACACACACACACACACACACACACACACACACACACACACACACACACACACACACACACACACACACACAATCTGTCACTACTCCACTTGCTATTGATATATATTTTTTTGTCTTTAAAATCATATTACAAAAAATCATATTAATGTCTAAACATCCTGCCTTGATTAAGAGTTCTGAGATCATGTGATTTCTTAAATGACTTTTTAATATTGAGTCCATGGGAGTTGATTTTTTAAGTGGTTAACTACAGACACAAAAACAAGCCTAATACAAATGTTGGCTGTTCTCTTATTTTAGATCAAC